ATTTTTTCAGTAATAATCCAAACAATTTCTACTTTAAAAACTGATACTTTTTTAAAAGTCAATCCAAATATAAATGATATTATATATAAAAATCATATTGAAAAAAAGTTGTTCATGATGCCACTGCTAATTCAAAATATCCTTACACGACTGAACAAACATTAATTAATGTTGGCATTTGTGAGGGTTGGGCATGCTCTCAAAGCATTTGTAAAGAGTTGGGATATAATTACATTTTCCATCACTATAAATAATGAAAATTGGGAGAGGAGAATTATAATAAGATCTCAATAAAGAAAAATAATTATTAAAAAGTCTCAATAACAATCTAAGTAGCTTGTAATGATAAGATCCAGAATAAAAAATGATAACTTCTGACTTATTTTGTATTCTTTTTTTTTTTTTGATCTCATTGTAATTCTCTGCTTCTCCCAACATAATATTGATGTCAACAACAAAGCGCTCGACAGTAGGAGGAAGGAAGCAATTCCTTTGATACGCGCAAGGTTAAATCTTTTGGGGATGTACTCAAAGTTGCCATATGGGTTAGTTGGGCCTAGACTGTAGAAGATGCTTTAAATTAATTTATATTATGATATAAAAAAAAATAGCTTAATAAAATATCCATTCAGAAATAGATTTACAGTGTGAACAACAGCGGAACAAATAAAGATTCTGAATTGTATGAAATCATTCAGTAGATGGCGAAAACCCAGCAGGTGGTATAAACTCAGTAGATGGTGAAGACCTTCCAAAGCTAAGCTTAAAAAACCAGCCTAGTATAAGTCCAATGAGACCCACAACAATGGCGAAGGTGAAGGAAAAGCCGGGATCGTTTCTTTTTCTTCGCCTTTTCAGCATGTCCTGCACATTGACAAAACCCTTGGGTTAGTGTTTTTGCAAGGGCAGTCAACAATTTCAGATTCAACCGTTCTGAAGAACCCTTTGTTGAGCAAATGTGAGTTCAGATATTGATAGGTTCTACTGACAATTTTGCCTCCTTTACACCTCATCATCAGAACCCATCCCGCTTTAATTGATCCCCACAACTCATTTTCTTCTCAAAGCAGCATCTCCCTGAATCAGTGAAGTAACTCCCCACAAGCCTCTCCAAGTTTTTACCCTCTGCTTTTTACTTGCCTATGTTGTTTCCATTTTACTTTATTTTTTTTTTTTGGGGGGGGGGGCGACTTGTACTAATTATTGACAGTTTTAGACAGTCTAGCAAAATATTTGGAGGCTTAGTTCTTAATCGAATTTCTATAAAGGGGGTAATGCGAGGAAGCTTGCATAATTAGTTACCAATTCTTGTTTCAGCTGAACTGTTTGCTTGGCAGCAGCATCTCTTTCTTCCTTCAATTGCTGTAAAATCTGACTCATTGTAAAAAAGTAAAAGTTAATTCAAGCACATCTAGCAAATACAGATAGACTACAGTAGTGCGACTTAATGAACTTGCAATATGGGGGAAGAAATTCTATAATGCGGGAAATGATTCACAGAAATTTTGATAATTCACCAGGGAAAACGTGAACACGCTGAGGTGAGAATAAGTACGGACACGTAGGAAGGTGATAGTTAAACAGGATTTCTACCCCATATGGCCACTATGAACTAACTTTGATAGCGCAGATAAAGGCTAAAGGCAACCTTGGCCCACAACTTGGAGAAGCTGTTGTCTAAAGTGGTTCTGGAAATTAGGAAACAAGTCCCAAGAAAATTTAGGCAACACAACCAACATGGCCGCTGAAATTTAGCTTCTTCTTGCATTGCAGCTACTGCATAATCTTCTGCCTATTTTTGTCGACTTGGATGCCTTAATAGTAGTGAAAATGATGAGAAATGCCGACAAAGCTCAATAATTGCCTCTTATAACCTCATTTCTATGGAGGAAGCTAAAGCACAGCAAGAGTGGGAATCCAAAGTGGGGCCACATTTTTGGGGAAGTCAAACAAATAGCTAATGTTGTTGGCCAACTGCCAATATTGCTGTTACATGTCACATGACAATTATGTTGTTTTGGAATTCTTTTCCTGTCCGATGTTTCATTCCTAGTGGATAACTGAGCTATGACTTTGTGGCCCAGACTTTGTTTTATTTAATTTCATTCTAATACTTTTTATATTTTACAAAAATAAATAGATAAAACATATGCAGTATTCATATCCTTTCAGAGGTGATCGCCAAACTTAGATAAACTCATCATGTAATCACCCATTTTGTGTCCATATATGAGCACAGGTAAAATATATATCATCTGGTTTTTCTCATGACTAATTAATCTGAAAATGCTTGATAGTTTGTTAACACCTTGTTTGGAAAAGTATTGGAATAGTGGACGCATGAATGTTTCGTAAAATCCATCACTTGATCACTAATGTTCTAGGTCTGTAACATATATACTCCTCCGGTCCTTAATATAAGACTTAATTATTGAGTTGATTTTGGTCTTAAATATAGGACTTATTTTTCATATTTATCAATTTTTTTCTAAAATACCCCTATGGATCTCCCTCAACCATAACCAAGTAGAAGGGGAAAAGAGGATATTAGGAAAGATGATTATGGTGTTTTAGGAAAAATATGTCATATTTGCTATAATTAACTAAATTACCTAACTTCCTTAATCTAATCAAATTAGTTAAATAGGTCTCAAATTAAGTCACACTTGCCCAGATTTATAACCAATCGATAACCCCATTAGAATATTATTCAGTTATTTTCAAAAGAGAGCCTTGTGGGGATGTTTGTTATAAAGTTTTTAAATTTTCCACTGGGAAATGTTTGCAAGGCAATTCAATCTCAGGAATGTGTTTTTACCATTAATCCGAGGAAGTAAATACCCTAACAATCAATAAAAATCATGTTCAGAACCAATATTCAAAGAAAATAATACAAGAAATTGAAATCCCATGGGCGTCTTTTAGATTAAGTTGCCCAAATTTTGTGGAGAATGAAATTCCGAGGGAAACTAAGATTCATGAAACCACATAAGAAAATTTACACCAACCATGGTATTCTTGGTTTCCTAAGCTTAGTTTCAAGAGAAATTTAAAAGAATTTCTATGCCAAATGTAACCCAAATTTTATTGTTTCCTCCAAGTCCATCATGCCCCATCCACATGAATGATCACCCTAATACGTGGAGATCTAAAATACAGTGAGGTTTGGAGTGATTTGTTCATTTTTATCTTTAGGCTAGTGATCCGTAGAAATCCTTTTGTTCCAATTTCTCAGGGTTTTGTCATTGCAAATATGTGAGATATGCTGCATTTATATGATGGAAAAGATGGCTCAACAAATTAACTTTCAAATTTAAGAAGAAGCATGCAAAAGGAATTGCTGAATAAAGGATGAGAGAACACAAGACTCACAGAATTGGTATCAATTTTTGGTGTTGTGCCCTTCGAGGCCTCATCTTCTGAGGCAGAGGCATTAGGGACATATACGACTCTTAGTTTGCACTCCTCTATTGAGTTTCCACTATCCTTATTAAACTGCAAGCCAAATAATATATACCACTTCAGTATGGTGAAATAAGATAGTAAAATCCATACTGTGAAATAAGCATAGTGCTGACTTTCTTACAGTTTCTGGTGGAAGCTCATCAACATCAGTAATTGCACCCACAATTGTACTCTGTAAGAGAAACTTGTCTTTGCATTGCATATCTGGAGGATATTCTTGTTGGGGTTGAAGGGTGACTGTATAAACCAAAAATTGGAGAATATAATCAATGATAACATCCCAGAAACATTAAACACGTATGCTTTTTTTGAAGCCGAGTACTAGTGGTAATTTGGGACAGTAAAAAAAAAATCAATATAGCAGCATATTACATATTTTAATAAGATCCTAATTATATTACAGATTCATCTCAGAATTTGTTTAGCATGCATTTCTATATTGAGACATTGAAATTCCTTTGCTGGGATATCTCCTGAAGATTAATGTTTCACATCAATAGAGAAGATGACTGAAGATCTTGCAGAAAAATATAAAAGCCCTCAGATCAAAAAAATGATTTCGCAAAAGTAATAAGCATCACCTCTGATGATACACAAGTCCCAGGGCTGTATAACAGCAGTATTTGGTCGTACGAAGTACTTCTTAGGAGAAGTCGTTTTGACCTAGCAAAGGAGTAGGATAACATCGAAATCAATTGTAATCACAACGCTAAAGTCGTTCCCATGCATTAAGTTAATAAATACCTTAAAGGTGTCTACTGAAAGAGAATAACATTTTTTTTGGCGTGTGCGCGTTTGGTTTTTTTTTTTTTTTTTTTTTTGCGGGGTGGCCGGTGGGGGGCAATACCTTAAAGGCAACGTTGTGCTCTGTGTTGTTTAAAACTTTAAGGTCGCAAAATGCTTGCTTCTCCAGCTCAACTGTTTACATAGATTTTGTGAGCGTCACTATATGATAAATAAAGTACTGCACTCAAGAAAAGAAAGAAACTCATTGAATAATTTGACACGGACAGATACAGTGTTTGATTCAATGGAAAGAAGAAGAGGGGAAGAATTTTATGGAGAGAAAGAAACAAAAAGGATGATAGCGATACTTCCAAATCCCCCACTTTTGGAGGAGAGAAATAGAAGACAAGGGGAGGAGAAAGTCCTCGTATCCCCTCCAATTGGCTTTCACACCAGTTCTACCCTTGACCCAAAAATTTCCTATAGTGAAGCCGCAAGTTCAATTCAGAAATCAAACAAAAGCAAGTTTCGCATGCAATTTCCTGATTGAGTACTGCTCAGTCGGAACGAAAATAGAATTGAAAAAGAAACCGCTAAAGAAAAATAAAAAGTGGGAAGAGATATACATACAATTGAACCTGAGTTCATCGGGGGTCACAGAGATTAGCTGATTCCCAATAGTAGCATTCATGACGAATCCGTAAGTCGGCGGTAACAGATAGCTGTTATTCTGAGAGGCTAATCACCAAAAACATGAAAGCATGGCATTCACAGTATGAGAAATTGTAGCTCCAGCAAAATGGGGGATAGAGAAAGGGCTGAAAATGTTGAAGGGAGATTAGAGAAAAGGAATGACGATTGGAATATGTGTGGTGGAACGAGGAGCATGGAGTACCAATGGCTCGCTCCAAATAGTGATTCTTGTTTCCAGCTTTTTAGCCTCTGAGATCGCTTGCTTGGTCTGAACTCTGAACCACCATATCTCTCTCTGGTTTTTCTGGACAACCTCCGATGGGTTAGAGAGAGAGGAAGGTGGACGGGGAAGTTTGTTACACGTGTCCGATCGTGGTAGTAATGACGTTATTTTTAATTATTTTTGTGATGACATTTGAAAGAAACTCAAGCGGAGACTGGAAGTGGGTCCCGCATGACGTGTCAGAAGGCCTATCCCACCTGGCTGGGCAGCTTGTTTGGAGTTGACATATAAAAGGACTCACAGCTCTTATTACAATTAAAAAATGGCTTATAATTTAGTTTTAACGAATTATTTTAAGTTATAATCCAAAATGTACTATTTATTCACCTTCCAAAAAAGGCGACTGCTTGGTGTTGAATGATACTTTTTTTTTTTAAAAAAAAAAAAAACGGATAATTACCCCCCCTAACGGTCACGGATAACCTGGACCTCGCGGAGGCAAAAGTAATTGTAGTTTTAATATATTTTATAAAATTTATAGAAAATCGACTCATATTAAATTAAAAATTAGATCAGATTATATATGATTGGACGACTTTGTTTCTTCAAGTTTTAATTTTATGTTCTTTGGGCATAATCTGATGGCAAGCGCCACTGCCACTTCAAACTAAATACGTCCCAATAAAAAGTTGTTGCTACATTGATAATTTGGGATCACTTTTAAAATTATTTATAAGCACATTATATATATATCAAAACAAAATTTTTCTCACATACTTATACTGTATTATATACATCATGATTAAAAAGTTAGTTATAAACCATTTCAAATGAGCTCTTTATAATAGCAAGTAAGAAAGATTGATGCAATACTTTCATCTAATTTTATAAACCTGCCATTGACAGGGATCTTGACTTTTATCATAGGTGCTAATTTTAAATTACTAATTATAGTTTTTAATATAAAAGCTATATATAATTAATTTGAAGAGATTAAAAAATTACTTAAATTATTTTTCTGTAATAAATGTGTTGACTTTTCTAAACTACTATCTTTTATCATATATAACCTTTATAATCAATAATTTTGAAAAAAATTATAAATTTAAGAGATAAAAATGAATTGAAATTTTATATTTATAATTTTATATTTACAACTAGAGGTAATAATAATTAAGTTTGCCATTTTGATTCAGTATTTGTAAGAATAACAAGAAGTCTCTTAGAATTCGCATCCGTGATACTCCTCCGGTCCTTAATATAGGACTCAATTCTTGAGTTAGTTTTGGTCCTAAATATAAGGTCAATTTCTCATATTTTTTTAAGAAAAATATGTCACTTTTTTTATAATTAACTCATTTACCTAACTTCTTTAATCTAATCAAATTAGTTAAATGGATCTTATATTAAGGATAGGAGGAGTACCATGTAATTCAGGATCCTGCATCGGTGGATGATTCTCGACGACACCGCTAGAAATGTAAGCTGACATCGGGAAACTGTGCCTAAGGAATTCATGTAGATGACAACTTTTTACCTTTTACTATGTTATATGCTCCGACACGTAAGTTCTTAGCTGGCAATTTGAGCCCCACCTGTTGGCTAGTGGCTACTTGTTTAGGCTGGAATTACTCTTTTTGAAATCTGGGCTTTGAGAATTGTGTCCATATGCATAAAAAGGTTTTTAGGCCTGGCCTTCATAAGCCCAGAAAGGTATGCTCGAGCTTACCCACTAGACGCAAACTGACAAACATGTTTTCCTTTTTTTTTTCTTGGTGCGTATAATTTTTTCCTTGGTAAATAGGAAGGCATGTAGCCTAGATTACAATAGCACGTTTCCCTCTCCAGCATCCCTTGACCTTTGTAGTTGGACAGGATGGAACTAGTCCCCGCACAATAAAAATTTTAGGCTTTGTTTAATTCTGTTTTTTAATTATTTTGTTCTTATAATAGTTTTATGAAATTATATTTTTAAAACAAGTTTTGAGGAAAAGAGTAAAATTAGTGTTAGAATCCGGTCATTTATTAATATTTTTTTTACTTATTGATTGTATTGCAATTCTTAATGAGATGAGAGTGAATTGTTTATGACTATGCCTTTAGAAAAGAAGGAGACTGAGTTGGAAATACTACAGTCACATGTTTGCACTTGTAGCTTTTATGCCAGGTAGCAGATTATTTATTTACAAATCTTTCATCAACAAGGTCATTACATTGACAGTAAGATTTAAACTCATAATTTTATAAGTCATGAGCTAATTTCTCACTAACTATATTGATTTTTGTTGGCGTATATCATTTTTCTTAATTATAATAGATGTTATGTTTGTTAATAGAAAATGGTTTTTGTGTTGTTTCTCAGTCACTCTATTTGATTTTTTATTAAATTAGTTTATATTATAAGAAGATATTAAGTAATTGTAAAAAATATTGTCAATATCAACTATATAAAATAAATAAATCAAATAGGATGTTCATTACTTTTTAAAATGTTCATTGTTTTTAATTAATTATATATCTTTAAAGTGATTTTAAAAATAATTACTCTAGACAAATTTTTATTTTTTTAATTTTTAAAAATAACTTTTTGAAACAATCATCTAATCAGATTTTTTTTCCTTCAAAATGTGTTTTAGAAAAGAATTTTATAAATTTATTTTGAGAACAAAAGAAAAAAAAGCAAGAAGACAAAGACAAACAAGTCCGAAGTTTTTTTTTTTTTCCATAGACAATATAGTATCAGAGAATTATGCCTTTGACAATGAACAAAACAAAAATTACTGTTAAGTCATAAGTAAAAGATTTAATTATCTAAAAATTTGTTAACAATTAAAGAGTTTATAATAACAAATTTTAATGTGTAAAGTTTTTTGATAATTAAATCTCGTCATTGGTATTTTATAAATTCTCCCTAAAACAAAAATACAATTAAAAAAAAGAAAGTTACAAAAACAAATTACATTTTGAATGATTTGTTTCCATTTGACCTAAACGTTGATATGATTTAAAGCTCATTTGTTTGAGATGCTAAACAATTGGACTATGATGCTAAATTAGTATACAAGGTCAAGAAAATGTATTTTTAAATTCAAAGCTCTCAACAATTATTTTTCTTATTGTAAGACAATTTTTATTAAAAAATGATATATAAAAGATTATGCTCCATTTAAGAAAATGAAATATCCCTCTACAAGCAATTCAAATTCAAACTAAAGAGACCTAACAATGACATTGAGTAAGACTGGTACCAACAAAATTATTACCATCATAAATAAATACAACAACACATAAAAAATAAAAGTAAAGACTAAAGTAGGGTCACAATTGGCTTAAGGCACAATTTTAGCAATTAAGTTTTACATCAAAAGCATCTGGTACTATTTAGTTTTGAAGGGTGTAAAATTAGACATGATCATTAAGAGAGAGAGCAATTTCACCTCTCCCGTCAAAAGCTTTAAACGGCCGTTTGTTTTTCTTAAGATGGGTCCCACTCTTTTCACTCATTTTATCTCTCTCTTCATTAGTCATCTTCCTCCCTGTCATTTTTTCCTCAAACTTGCTCTCTAGTTGACAGTTGTCTTGTTTAGCCTTCTTAAGATTCTCAAACTCGCTCTCCTATTAACTCATATTCAATTCCGATCTCTCGTCTCCCCTTATCTACCTCCACCTCTCATCTTTCTTTCTCTATTACTCTTCAGCAAGCGAGCATCTTGCATCTACAAACCAATGAGTTAGAGTTTTTCGGTGGTTAAGTTCGACAAGCTCATAACGGTTGAGTGGCATGGATAATCTTCCACTGGATGTATAGACAGCTACTTCTAAGGTTAGAACCAGAGAGGTGTGTGGACCCACTCTCCAAGGCTAGGTTGTAGAGAAGCTTTAAAAGGTCCTTCATTGAGGGGAAGAAGGAGGACGTAGGGACGATCATAATTCTCAAGCATCATCATTTGGGTTTGATTCTTCACATTGCTTCCTTTAGTTTGACCCACTATGTGCTCCGTAACTTGAATTTGAAAATGCTCATGAACCTAATCCCACTAAGTTTTCCCATGGGAACCACGTAGCGGTGGTTGGGTTGGTTGGCGTCAAAGCAGATGAAGCAATCGATGTTTGGTGGGACTTGGGTGAGAACTAGATAGCCAACGGTGAGGAAGGTTGATGCTTGGAGCTTTATGGAAGATGATGAAGTTTCATGGTAGAGGCCTGTTTTTTTGTGATCGCTTCAGAAGGTGATGCTTGAGAAAGTAGCCAAAGGGAAACCAAGAATGTTGTTGGCAATCGTCGCTAGTGAAGCAGAGATAATAATGGGGTGGATAGGAGAGAAAGCAAGAAAAAGAGAGAGGAACTGATATTATTAAAATAATTTGAGGTGATGAGAGAAAGAGGAGAGGTAACGTTTTTGCGAGAGTGATGTGTCATTAGAGAGTAGAGAGCATTCTGGCATATAACAAAATTAAAAAAGAAAAAAAAATGAAGTGGAAGAAGAATGACCAAGAGAGAGAACAAAGTGACAACTAATGGGACCCACTTTGAGGAAAAGAAACGGGCGTTGCTGCCTTTTAACGGGAGTGGTTAAATTGTTCTCTTTTTTAATAATTATGTCTAATTTTGCACCCTTCAAAACTAAATAGTGTCAGATGCTCTTGACGCAAAACTTAATTGTTAAAATTACACTTTAACTCTAAAAATAAGTAAGGATTTAAATTATAAAACTAAAACAATACCAAACCAATGTGAACATTACATGCATGTATGAAAGAATGAAGTCAATGAAAACAATGACAAACAATGCCCTTTGTAGTTGCAATAGTGCGAACATTTAAAATAGTCCTAAAAGTAAAGGTCTCACATGAGATGTTGATAAAACTGTTATATATAGAGTTTTTAACATTTTTTTAAAATTCAATAACTTTCACAATTTATAATTAAATTTATTGCTGTTTTTATTTTTACAATTGAACTTTTAAAACCTATACTACTTCATCGTGAAATTAGTACCGTTTCATTTGGAAAATACTAAAAATGCTGAGAATCAACTGCATAGATGCAATGTTAGAGCAAATAAAAACAAATGACCCATGTAAAAACATGAGGATTAGCCTAGGGGATGAGATCATCCCCATACATATATACAGTCAGGGCCACGCATGGACTGCCAAACCAAAAACTATACTCATGATAAACGTCCTGAGAATGGTAAATGGGTGATTTGAAAACCTAAAAATAGAAGAAAAAAAATATTAAGGGGGTGTTTGGAGCATCCACATTCGATGCTCATAAAGTTGATGAGCATCGAGTGTTGGGCAACCAATAGTTTTTTTCCCCATTTTTTTAATTTTTTATTTTTTTTACCACCACTTTCTTTTTTTTCTTCTCACATGTAAGATCTAACAATTTCTCAAAATTTCTCAATCAGGTTCTATTCATTTTTAGTTTTTTCACTTCATCGGATTTTATTACAAGATTATCCAAATTAAATAAAAGGATATTGATGGGCGAAAAAACTTAGGGTAAAATAGTATTTAGTATCCTCATACTTTTTTTCCTTCGTAGATCTAATACCATAATGTTATATGTGATGCATCTACATCCTAATCTTATTTCTAATATATTTAGCACCTCTAGATCATGAATAATATTTTGGTCTTGAATGTAACTGAAAAATAATTTCAAAAGTACTAAAAACAATACACTATAAATAAAATTAAAATATTAGATACTACTGATAATGTCAGTGTTGATGTTACTTTACCCAAAAATTTATAGATTTATAATACGTTTATTAAGAAGAATAGTTAAGAATAAAAATAAATATTATCTCCAGCATTTCATATAAGAACCAATTGATTGATTTGAGTAGCTAAGAATATTAGTTAAGTTAGTTCTTTTTAATAAATATGTGTTATCTTCCCTTAAATACCCCCACTAATCATGTGTATTAACTAAATATATTGTTTAACGAAACATTTAATATGTACAAGTATTATAAGAACTATCTTAAAAAAATAGATAAATAGGAGAAACAAAGAGGATTGAGATCTTATATTTAAAATTGAATAAAATATTAAATTAGCTCTTATATTAAGGATTGAAAGTAATAATAGATAATCATATTTCTAATTAAATGCTAAAATACTCATACGGTCCTATGTATTTAAAGAAAATTTTTTTAGTCTTATTTATAAGTTAAATCAATAAATTTTTTATATGAATGTATAATTATTTATAAGTTGAATCATTAAATTTTTTATAGGAATGTATAATTTTACTCTTTATTTATTATATGATTAGACCAAGTATCATTGTGATAACATATATATATATATTAAATATGAATAAAATAAAAAAGTAATTAAATTTAAAGAGGGAATTAAAGAGGATATCTTCCAGTAGTGTTTTGCTGAAGTAAAAAATATGGATAAATACAAATACTCTGGGGAAGTTTGGAAGACTGCATGTGCTTAAAAATGTTACATTGAAAAAAAAAAAAAAGAAGGAAGACATTGAAAAAAAATGTTCATTGTCACATTGGAAAAAAAAGAAAAACATTAAAAAAATGTTAATTGCACAGCAGGGATGTTTTGAGTGCTACTTGATGAGCATCGAATGTAGATACAGTGTTTAAATGGAAACCAAATCATAATTTTAAAAGTATTTTTACAATATATAAAATAAATATAAAAAAAAAGTTTGTCTCGTTTTATAGAAACAATAGCATAACATGCTGAATATATGATGAGAGCATAATAGAGAAGATGAGAAGAGAAATTTCTGGAAAATGAAGAAGGAAGATGGCAGATTAAACGAAGTAGTATAGCAATGACAGATAAATACATGAGCAAAAACGTAACACGCAGAATATAGGATGATTTTTTTTAAACGCGCTTCATCAATAGTAATCCATAATTAAACTCACACTTGATTAATGATGGATGCTTTCGGAACAAAGTTGTTAATGAATTATTATTATTTCCAGAATAAATACGTAACGTAAAACGGTCAAACGCGCGAGTAGAATGCCACATGTAACCGCCAAAACCTTCCTCTCCAAAACAAATGCGACACCCAGAGAGAGAGAGCCCTGACATGAAGGAAAGCACTTGCAAATTTTCAGCAACGGTCTCTCCTCTCGCCTCCGCTCTTTTCGCTCTCCCTCTGCTCACTCTCTTCCCTTCTCTCACCTTGCCCTCTCCCTAATGCGTATCATCTTCTCTTCCCTGCAAAACCCGTCTCGCTTGGATCAACGTATTAACATTCGCCGAATACATAGCTCTGATAATAGATTCGTATTGTAATTTGGCTGATTTCTGACGATGCCCCCGCCTGGTTCTCTTGTAACTAGGACACCTCCGCCTGGGTTTTTAATCATCAGTGGCAGGAGATGGAAAATCAAAACGTATAGATACATAGTTTTGTTGGTTACGTTCGTGGCATACGTATGTTTCCATGCTTCCAGAAAACCTACTGGCATTGTTAAGAGTGTACTGTATCCGGAACCCAATGGCCATATCATCAAGCTCAAACCCTGGCCCATGGGGGAGGTGTTCGTTAAGGATCGGGGCATTGTTGGTGGGAAGAATAAGGGTTGGGCCCCTTTTAATGAACCTGATGGGACTTCGAAATTAGGCGAAATTGATGTTGCGTTTCTCGCATGTTATTCAGTGGGAATGTACGTATCTGGGCATTTGGGGGACACTCTAGACCTTCGTTTGTTCTTGACTATGGGGATGATTGCAAGTGGAGTATTCGTTGGGCTTTTTGGGATGGGTTATTTCTGGAAAATTCATGCTTTCTCGTATTATCTAATTATGCAAATGATTGCTGGATTGTTTCAAGCAACGGGTTGGCCTTCTGTTGTTGCTGTGATTGGTAATTGGTTCGGCAAGAGGAAGAGAGGATTGATAATGGGTGTTTGGAATGCTCACACTTCAGTTGGTAATATAAGTGGCTCTCTTCTTGCAGTTAGCGTCTTGAAATATGGGTGGGGCTGGTCTTTCATCGTACCAGGAGCTTTGATCATATTTGGAGGATTATTTGTTTACTTGTTCTTAACTGCTTATCCAGAGGATGTGGGATTTACTTCGATTCATGGCTCAGATTCGGATCTATTAGCAGCAATGCATCCTGATGAAGAAGCTCAGATAACGAAAGGGGAAGTGACAACCGTCGCTTTCTCGCCGGGGTCACTACGTACCTTGAGCGGTGCTTCAGTACGTACGAAGAGTGTTGGGCTTCTTGAAGCATGCTTTATCCCAGGGGTTATACCATATGCCTTGTGCCTTTTCTTCGCCAAGCTTGTTGCCTACACGTTTCTCTATTGGCTACCATTTTATCTGAGTCAGACAGGTAATTATCATGATCGTCATGCTTGGTTTACCATGTTTTTTGGAACATACTAACGTTACTTGAGATTGCGAGATCGCATAATTACATAAGCAAATGACGGTTAAGGAGTTGGTCAGTTCATGAACTGTGATTTTCGATTAACTGATGAAATTGTTGATATTTGATTCCCAGATTCTAGGGAGTTTTTGATTCTTCTCTTCTAAATTAACTTAGAGAATTGTAGTTTAGATACAGATGATTTGATGTGGTCACATTCTGCTTAAGCTCAGAGCATTTGTGATCACCCAACCTTTTGGTTACTAGGATATCTTATTTGGCCAATTTGTTTCTCACACAGTGACATTGTGGGACTGAAGAGTGTTCTTTTCTGACATATCATATATGACAACTTCTTCAAAACCTTCTGTTCCTTGGAGCTCGTCATCTATCATTGCTACTGTAATATTTTTACTTTTGGTGGTTAAGTTATAGAAACAGCCATCACATGATGGATCAATTTATGTTTTCAACTTTGCTGGCAATCCAACGGAGTCTCTTCTTCATAATAATCTATGACTGGAATTTGACTGGGAAGTGGACGTTTATGACCCGGGACAAATGGATTGTGATCATGATTGCGGAAGAATTATCTCTTGTGGAATTGATCAAGTAGCTTTTGTGATTCCCAAAATACGGTTCATTTTAATGAAACTGGTTAAAAATTATGATATAACCTCTTCTGTCATTGTTTAAACTGTATCCAACTCTTAGGCAATGTAAACCGCATCTTTCAATCGTCATCAATCGTGGGCTCCTTTTTATTATACTAATTTCTTTTTCTTGTAATTCACAGTTTAGCCTGTAGAGAGGTTGAATTTGTTTTTTTATTCCTTTGATAATCTTGCAGAAATTGGTGGAGAGTATGTCTCTGTTGAATCTGCTGGCAATCTCTCTACTTTGTTTGATGTCGGGGGTATATTTGGAGGTGTTCTTGCTGGTTACATATCTGATAAACTCAATGCCCGTGCTACCACTGCGGCCAGTTTCATGTATGCTGCAATTCCTGCTATGCTTTTATACCGAATCTATGGAAGTATTTCTATGAATGTTAACATTGCACTTATGATCGCCACTGGATTGCTTGTGAACGGCCCTTATGCGCTTATCACTACTGCTGTTTCTGCGGACTTGGGAACACACAGTTCTCTTAGAGGAGATTCTCGAGCTCTAGCTACAGTGACTGCCATAATAGATGGCACTGGATCAGTTGGTGCGGCTCTTGGTCCTCTTCTCACTGGGTTCCTTTCAACAATGGGATGGAATGCTGTTTTTGCTATGCTAGCGCTTGGGGCTTGTATCGCTGGGCTTCTTTTATCTCGTTTGGTCGTAGCTGAAATTGCAGAAAGAAGTCGCAGGCCAGAACCTGTATCCATTGGGCAGCAAAATCCTGGGGGTAAATGTTCCCCCTATTAAATATTTGTTGTTAGAAAAAGGGTTAATTGCATAAATAAATTTGTTTAAGGAGCTTCTTCTAAGAAGATATGTAATCATAGGGTCAGCTGCTATCCTTCCTTATCTTGCACAGGTTTTATCAACCTATTACTTTGCTTATGGCAGTATCTATTCCATATAAAGTAGTCATTGTCTGTTAGAAACTCCATAGTTCAGACCATAGTGAGTCTAGGTATAAATTATTGAAATTCTGCAATCGAATTAAGTATGCCAGGAAGCTCTGAGCATTATTTTGTAGATTTAAATGGAAGCTTTTTCTATGTACAAGTATGTGTGAGGGGGGAAAAAAGAACATTCTCACGCTTTATATACTTGTTTCTGAGCCATGTCAAATCCAATGCTTGAATTAGGAATTTGTCTTTTTGACCATCCGAGTAATGCTTATAGCACTCTGGACTAACTTGTGTTTTTTTATTTTTATGTTGTATTTTATTTTTGCAGCCCCAGCTTCTCAACCACTGCTGAGCGGGGACAGGTGATATTCAGGTTTGACACAATGAACCCTCAAATGTATTGCTTAATACGAAGATTGTAATGAGAAAAAGAATGGGGAAAGATTTTGTCAGTGGCTCTTAACTGCAGCTTGCGGTAGTCATTTAACTCGTTATTGGACTTTTATCAGTTTGTCTAGACTCTACAGGGTTGCAAATTCCGAATGTGATTTCTGTTCACCGTGAAGCAACTTCCTGGTCTGGAGATACGCGGAGGACGATTGCTTTTGCTTGTTATGACCTCAGATGTTTGTGTACCCGGTAAGTTTTATTATTTTTCTGGTTCTGGACCAACTGATTTAGGCATAGGCAAAGTTCCTATCTTTTCCTAGTCCGAACCCCACTTAAGCCCCAAGATATATCTTGTTATCATCAGGTTTTGAACAACAAGATTGATACGTGTAACATGAATGCTTAGAATTTCAATAGTATATTCGCAATCTATATTTCAGTACATATCAGTTATGATACTTGCATTTAATTGGTTGAGAATTAAGATCAGCCTGGTATCTTTTACCATCACGTGTCATTTTTTTCTTTTTTTCTTTTTTTTGGTGAACTACCATCATGTGTCTTTGTATAAATAGAAATTAGACATTCGTCTTTCTCATCTGCATCTCAGTATTAAGATGATAAATTTCAAATGGGGAAGTAATGTTTAGCTGGTAGATGAGGGTGGAAGAGATATTCAAATGTTAAATCTGTCTTCCCCTCTTTATTTGACAGTTGAATAAGGGGGAAAAGTTTTGGGGAATACATTTTCTGCTAGTGGTCCTAAACTCCCAATGTCAGTATGTGACCCGTGATATAACATAGATACAATCTATCTCCCTCACTGATGGAGGGACAACATCAGAGAAACTGAGGCCTCAACTAAAGAACATAACTTCTTAATTGGATTATGGCTTTTTGCTTAATCATGTATGAGTCTTTGGGCGACGTACGAAGTCTGAAAATGAATGTTGTAAGCCATTTCTTAATCTGATCTGATTTTTTCCATATTGCTCATTTTTTCACGCAAAAAAGTTATTTAATAGATGGAATAATTGTGCTTGCCGGTCTGACCTAGAAAGCTAGGAAAGTATATTAAAGCTGTGAAGTTGGAGAATGTATACCCTGCAGTGTATGGCGATAAGGTGTGGCACATGTATCTGAATGTGCGAGGAAAGGGACAATAAGTAGTTCTGCACCAACCTGTAAACAGCTGTGTGGTATTTATCCCGCATTAGAGGAATATGTGGACAAATGGGCGTAGCTATCAAATATCATATATCATACCGGACATTAATAGTGGTACAGGCAGAGTCATTGACGAACATGTTACGCATCCTTTTCCAAACTTCCAACGTTAACTAGGCGTTAGACAAAATAACAACCTTTTTAGTCTCTACGAATACTGGATTTAAACAAGAGTGTTCTGAACAGAGGATTTAGCAAACTTAATAAGAAGTTGGAATGTAGCAGATGAAAGACTAAGAGTAACCCGTAGGAAGCGGGACAGACCGAGAAATGAGTGTCAGAGGAGGAATAGGCTGTACGGTGGAGATGAAAAAAAAAAAGTTGCAGGCTTTGCGGGAGGAGGAGACAGTAATGGAAAGCAAGTATTGTATAATGTCATGTAGAAATGGGGTCACTGTGTCCTTGCTTTTTATTGCCCTTACTCAACCCACCACGTGGTGCCACTTATCATCATCATCATCAGCACTACTTCCTCTTTCTCCATATTCATTCACTGTATTTATCGAATAAAATATACGCGTGTGTGTGTGTGTTGTGTGTGCGGTGTGTCATCAGCCACTCCTTTCTTTCTCTTTCCTTACAAATATTATCCTTTCGCTGCCTTGGATTCTTTCTGCTTTACCCTCCATTACTTGCATACCTGATTCTATATGCAATTTACTCTCTTTTTCTTCTGCCTTTTTTTGATCTCTCTTATAATTATGATTATAAGCCAAGCATTTTTTTTAATGATTTTCTATTTCTGGGGGATATTAACTGTGATCATCAAATTACTCAAGTTTGTCTTTTAGTCTTGTAATTGTAAAAAAGATGAAAGGATGTGCTGAATGGCTTCATTTGCGAAGGCATGTTTGGCAGTTGTAATCAAAAGTCTTAAACTTTAATTCCATATTTAACACCCCAGTGGCTTATTCGGATTCTATGGATGCATGACCACCACGACGAGATGCTCTCTCCACTTAAAATTCACGCAGACTCTTTCTCAACGCGTGTCAAACTCTTTTCAAGGGCATGGAATATTCGTGCATTTCAGTGTCATGCCAATAAAGATGAGGACTAGATTCTCTTAAAACTTTCTAATATTTCCCTCCTATTTATCTCTCCCAACCCCTACCTCCCCTGCTCTTCTCCAGAACCATTGTCTCTGCCTCTGCCTCTCTCTTTCCCTCTCTGTCTCTGCTTTCTGTTCGCTCAATCTTCATTTTTTGTTATGTCATGGCGCCTGCACGTGCCATGCTCGTGCTAGCCATGTCCTTGGCTTTTGTAGCATTCTCTAATGGCCAAGCCCCTTCTCCTGCACCCATGGCAATGGCGCCATCTAGCACCATGTCACCGCCATCTCCAAAGGCGGCTCCTGCACCTGCAACCTCCCCTGTTTCATCACCTCCACCATCACCAAGTTCCCTCAGCCCAAGCCCAAGCCCAGGACCATCTAGCAGCGCCACCTCTTCACCACCTTCACCTTCAGCTCCTTCTCCCGAGTCCTCATCGCCTTCACCGATGCCTGCACCTGGGTCTGGTCCATCCCTGTCTCCCATGTCACAGACCCCTGTGGCTTCTACCCCCAGCAGCGACGCCTCTGTTCTTGGAACCAGCTTCTCAATGCTAGTTCTTATGCTTGGAGGAGCTCTGGTGCTGCTTGCTTGAATAAATCATTAAAATTGTTTTAGTTTTTGGATTCCATGATGTAGATTGATGAGACATGTATTCGTGTAGCGTTCTGAGTTTCCCTTTTGTTTTGTTGCTTCATGTTCATGCACGATGATACTTGGGTGCACCATTTTTAATGATCTGTTTTCATTAGGAGCTTTCATTTGAACGCCATATCCTTTTGTCACATTGTAGCTGAATAAGAGGGACGTGGCCATTCTGACCTTCTCTGGTTTTCTTCAAATTTCTGTGTGCCTTTTGTCTAATTTTTTATTAGTTGATGCTAAATGTCCCCGTGTTCATCATATGGCTCGCCAAGCCTTAAACAACAACAAATGTTCTTGTCCCTGATAATTTTCAAACTAAATTCCTGCAACACAATTGGCTGTCGTCAAGACTAACATAACTCGCAACTTTCTTTTTCTTTTTTTTTTTTTAATTCTAGTAGCTAGCTTAGTGTAGTAATTATGCATATTTTAAACTGATGGTGGGAGAACTGATCTGTATACTTTAATTTTCTGAAAGTTTTTGGTTTACGAAGGCAAAATAGAAAGGCTATTCTGCTATTAAAAAGAGATGAATGGGGTAGGTAAGCGTATGAATTGTGATGAACAGAGAGAGAGGTTAGGTGTGGTAGCTGTGGGTGAAGAAGAAAGAGGTAAAGTAGAAATGGGACGACTGGTAGTGGAAGAATACGAAAAGGATGCCATTGGTGGGGCTTACTTCACATGCTGTGGAGAAAGTGGTGATCACATGCTCTTTGTTTTATTTTACTCTACAACAAGCCCACAACTTGCATTTATAATTTATATATATATAGAGAGAGGTGGTGTGTGTATATATATAGTTAAAATTCAAAGCATATATATCTCTTAAAATTAAATGATGAAAAAGCCAATTTCTTTCTTTTGAAATGCAGCATAGGAATTCATCCCTTGAAGATGTGTTTGCCTTTTTTTATTCTCCCTTTTTGGTCAGAAGATGTGTTTGCCTTTAGTTGTAGGAACTTTATAACGTGGTTATGATCAAAGTCAGTTCTGCGCGCCTGTGTCTGTCCAAGCGTAGCATTTATGTCGGTTTATTTCTTCTGTAAAGCAGTTAAACAGAGGTTGCATCTCATTATAGAGCTCTTTCCAGTATGATCTGCTCACTTCATTATTTTGTGCGCATATCATGGGGAACCCCCGGGGGGGGGGGAAGGAAGTATCCCAAATTTGGATTTTTATTCAATAATAATGCATGTGATGGGGCTCAGAATTGATTCTTTTTTTTCCCCTTAATTTTCATGTGAATAAATATTCATCCGGGAGAATGTTGAAAAACACTAATAATAACGAGATTCCAATTCCTTACCTCTGCCTGAAATATGCTAAAACTTGTCAATTTAATCGCAAAGACGCAAACTCCTACCAGATGTTAGTCTTTTCTTTTCCCTGGTAATCTCTGTTCTTGGGGCCAAAAATAGTTCTATTGATTTTTAACGAATTGAATTTTTTTACTTATCTATTATTATTATTTATTATCTATTTTTCAATTTAGAGGTGCTCCTAAAAGATCTAAGATCCCTTTTGGTACAAAATA